CGTAAAAAGGAATCACGACAGATAGTTTGAGATAGAGAAAATAAATAAGTAAGATTTTAAGTTAATGATTTCTGAAATTTGTTGGTAAGTACTTATTGGGCTCTTGTATCGCATGTAAACATTAAAATATATTACTTCCTCCATGTAAAAAGAATGATCTTCTTTTCATTTTAGTCTGTTTTAAAAAGAATAATTTATTCCTCTCTTTTTTTTCACACTTTAATTTCAGTTTTATATATAGCATGCTTAAGGTCACAAGATTAAAGAACATTTTGACATAATTTTAATTACCATAAAATTGAAAAGTCTTTTTTATTTTTGTAAACTTAGTGTCAGGTTAAATTAGGCTGAAACAAAGTGAGTATATATCACGTAAATATTTTAATATAAATATGAGATAAGTGTAAAAACACACATAAAATATAGTAATTTTTTAATTAATATTAATAGTTTATTATTTAATTTTTATCAAGGTGAAATATTTATTTATGTATTATGTCATGTGTCATGTGTCAAGGTTTTTTCAAATAAAAGAGAAGGCCAAACACATACACAACCCCTCAAACTTGCCCTCATTTTTTATTTGGCACTACAACTTAGCCTTGTTCTATTTTAACCCTTAAACTCCATTTTTTCTGTACCATTTAAACACTAATACTATTTTTTATGGATTTTTTTTTTTAATTTATGTTCTTCAATTGCAATTTTTTATTTTAAAAAAATAGGTGTGCATCTGTTAATTTTCGTAAAAAAAATTAAACATTCGCGAACGAACATAAATTTTTTCAAACAATAATATTATTTTTTGAGATTTCTCTGTATTTTTGCATGAAAATAAATTGACGAGAGTTCTTCGATTTTCTTTCTTAAACATTCAATTAAATTAAATAACACTACTTATTTATTATTTCTTGTCATCTAGGCTATCTAAATTTAACGCAAATACACACTTTTTATTTTTAACATAAATCAATACAAATAAAAAAACTCATCTTCAATACGAGTAAAAAAGACTCTTGTTCATTTCTAATAACACTACTAAAAATGTTAAAACTCAACTGACTTTAATTTGTTAGATTGTCGATGGTTTTTAAGAAAGAAAACCAACACAATTTCGTCAGTTATTTTTCACATAAAAATACATAAAACTCTTAAAAATAAATTATTTTTTGTTAATTTTTATTTTTTTTTATCTAAATTAACTGACACATGTCGATTTAAAATAAGAAGTTGCAATTGAAGAATATATATAAAAATAAAGAAATCATAAAAATAGTATTTCGTGTTAAAATGGTACATAAAAAATGGAGTTTAAGAGTTAAAATGAAATAAGGCTAAGTTAGAGTGCCAAAATGAAAAATGAGGGCAAGTTAGAGGGGTTGTATATGTGTTTGGCCAAAAGAGAAAGTGTGTTTCTCAAATGTGATAGTTTGGATATGAATTTAAATATGAAACTCAAAAAAATATAATTTAAAAGTGTTTTTGACACTTATCACGGTGAATATAGAATTTTAGCTAAAATTACGTTATTGTTTCCTTGAAACAAGTGGCAACACATTTTATGGTCCACGTGTCAGCTTTTCACGGACCTTTACCGACTTTTTACTGCTTTTTCCCCACATCTATTTCTTTTCTCATTTCTCTTTTTCTATTTTCTCCTTTTTTCCTTGGATTCTAATCTAAAAATGTAATCATTTTTTACTCATAAATATTGTCAATCTTCTACTAAAAAGCAATTTAAAACAAGCTGTCAATTTAACGTCCATAAATTTGGTTTATGTCCAATTAATATTTGTATATCCCTACAAAAATATCATTCATTTATGATCACAAAAAGAAAGAAAAAAGTTAAGTTGAGAGTAGTATTACTTCCAAAGAACTTTTAGGAATGAAGTGTCAAGCTTTATATATTTGGAAATAAGATAATTAAGAAGACAAGTCCATTAATACTTAGGATAAATGAGTGGTAAATAATGCTTGCATTATCCAAAAGGAGGACCATTTAGATGTGAGATTTGTTAGGAATTAGTCTTGTTTTAAAGATTCAATAATTTAGTGTAAACCATACTTTTCAAATTTGTAGTATTTTTTTTATTTTGTCCCCTTCTTGTCTTTCTTTGATAATTTTAATTTATTTTTTAATGTGTGGATGACAAATGATTATACCTAATTCATAAAACTCCAAGTGCACTATTAATCAATCTTCTATCTATCTACTATGACTATGACTTCTCAAGAGACTTGCTGCCAGTACCACTTACCAGAAATGGAAAGGATTTTTAAAGTGGTTTAATTTTAAAGTTTGTTACACCCTATTTCACCCACTTTCAAAATTTGCTAGTATCTTTTGGTCATAAATGTTTTTTGCTTTTTTTTTTTTTTTTGAAAAATAACATTTTGTATTTGGTTAGTCAATTTTAAAATTATTTTTGTCGATATTAAAGTAATAATTTATTTTTTCTCTAACTCTTATTTTCTTCATGCTTGTTAATTAATAATGACATGTTTGAAAAGCTCATCCTGGTGATTGAATTTGGTGTAATTGGTATAATTACACTCTCTGTCTTGTTTGGTTGGGCTTGTAATTACCTGGTCAGCAGGTAGTTAAGTGTTACACTCTCTAATTCGGTGGGGGGGGGAGGGCAGCTGTGAATTGCTGGTAATTACAAGTTGATTACTTTTTAATTTCTTCTTTTTTAAAAAAAAAATAAAAAATTATTTTTTATTTTTATTATTCTAAATAATTTTTTTATATTATTTATATTTCATTTCCTTCCTATTCTCAACCTTTACTTCATGTGATTCCATGCAATTTTTCGTATTTTTTTCATTAGTATAATTTTGTTAGTATTCTAATTTTTAAATTAAAGTAGAATTCATTGTTGAATAAAGTTATGGACCTATATTTTTCTTTTCTTTTTTAAATCATATTTATGTATGTTATGTTGAAATTTGACATTAGAGTATTATGCTAATTTTTTTGTTATGAATTTAGAACTTATGTTATATTTTCAATTTCATTTGTTTTAGGAGTATAGACTCTATATTTTACAATACTAGCAATTTTTTTTAAAAGTTAGACTTGATAGATTATCTTTTTGTCAAATGTTTTATATTTTTATGACATTATATTTATAATATTGATCTTTTTTGTCAAACATGTATTTCATGATGTTCACAGAAATTATGAACTTTTAGTTTTTATGATTAATTTAATTAAAATATATTACTTAAATTGAAAAATATAAATCAATTCTTTTTTATAATAGTAGTTAAGAACATATGTTTATTAATTAATATATTTCCAAGAGACAATATATATCTTAAATATTTAATTTAATATCATTTATAATAAATTTTTTATTTTAAATAATTAATTTATATTTTAAAAATTCAATATAACCTCATGATTACACTTGTGCAACCAAACAATACACTTGTAATTACATTGTAATTACACTGTGACAAACAAACAGGTCAGCGTAATTACTAGGATGATAATTATTAACCTAGTAATTACACCAATTCCAATTACATGGTGGCTTTTTCCAAACAGACCCTAAAAGTTCGTAATCTCATTAGGATTAGTAAGGTAATGTCTAGCCCCCCTTGCTTGTATTTTTCTTTTGAGATCCTTTACTCTTAATAATAAAAATTAGCCCTAAACACACCTTGCCTAGCGGAATTGCTTAAAAAAGTTAAATTTTTTTTTATGTTTGGACAATATTCAAAAAATAATTATAAAAACACAACTACTTATTCAAATTCACACGCTAGCTACGATATGTAAATATACTTAATTGTTTATTTTCTTAGAAGTCTGATCAAACACATTAACTCTCTAAAATTCACTTTCAAAATAAAAAACACCTTACCCCCAAGGGTCGTTAAAATAAATAAATAAGCAAAAAAAAACATGTTGACTTCTCCGAAATTTGATGTCTCTTTGTCAAAAATTTTAATTTCATTACACCCCTAACATGGAATAGATCCGCTAACATGGTACAAATATAGCGGGGTAATCTTAGGATAGTCAGGAAGGAAAAAAATAGATATACACATAATTTAGATAAAAATATTAAATTTAGAAGAACTCGTAATCAGAATTATAAATCGCTCTGATTTTAAAAATATTTCTAAAAGAAATATTACATGCATATATATATATATATATATATATATAGTTTAAATTTTTTTTAATGAATTTACGTGAATTCATCCATCACGATCAATATCCACTAAGTACATAGATGTTCAATCGATAAAGGGTTCTGGAAGATGACATTACATTTGTCATCAATCTAAATTTTTTTCTTAAAAAAATAGGAATATGAAGGGCTTTAAGCTTGGATGAGACTAATTAATAAAAAGAAATATTTAAAATAAAAATAAAATAATTTTAAAAAGTTCTTAATTAATAGTTTCTAAAGAAATAGGTAAAGAGAAAATTTGAGATGGCGGGAATAGTTAGGTGGATGATGAACCAAAAGTTACAACCAATCTCAAATTAATCAAGATTTCTGCTGATTGATCCAAAACGTTACTTGAAGTTGCATTATTAGCATCAATTAAATTCATAGCCATAACTCCCTTTAACAAGAGGATGATGAACACGTTATGATACAAATTTGAAGTAATTATGATGTGATACAAATATATAGACTATTTATAATCTATTTTAAATAGCTCTGAATCAAAATATAATTAAGATTCTCTACATAAAATTAATCTTAGGAAGAATCAATAACAAATTATAATTTAATATTTAAATAAACTTTATAAACAATCATTAGAATCGAAGAATCAATAATATCTTCTAGCTGTAATGTCCTCTTTGGAGGGGGTCTCTTTATTTCAAATGTTTTTTATAGTCAGTATTTTAGCCCTTTTTTGAGTGGCAATTCTCATGTATGATTACTTTTTAATATTAATATAATATATATTTTAGATTAGATTTAAAAAAGAAGAAGAAGAGAATTATGTTGAATATATAGAAAAAAAGGGTCTAAAACTCGAGTGTAACAGAACACGAAGGACAAAAGTAGTAACATTTGCATCTTTAGAGGTGAAATTGCTCGTTTTGTTGTGTGGCAAATGGCAATGGCTGCCGCAATTTGGGCATCTTCTTCTTCGTTCGCTCGCTCTCTCCGGCCTCTCCTCAGTTGGAACTCGTCTCTCTCCCCTATCAACTTCACTCTTCATCGATATAAATCAGCTAACTGTTTATTTTTCTCCGCAAGCAGTAATAAACCTCCAAAATTGGCTGTTTACGCTCAAGCTAGGCGAGTTTTATCTTCCAAAACCAAAGGAGATGAAATAGCTACTCGTAAGCATCCTTCTAGATTCTGACCTAAAAATCAATCTATTTGTAGTCAATTTTTTTTTTCGCAAATTGAAATTCTTCTTTTTGCGTGTGGTAGCTGCTGATTTGAGCTTCGAGGTGCCATTGAAAATTGTAGAGTATCCAGACCCGATTCTAAGAGCGAAGAATAAGAGGATTGACAAATTTGACGCTAATTTGAAGAAGTTAGTTGATGAAATGTTCGATATTATGTACAAGTGAGTCCATCCGTTTCTTACAATCCATAACTATATCCTTTTGAGTTTAGATAACTTATTTTAATGCAAAAAATAGTTGTTCGATCAGTAAACTGGATAACTCAATCTATGCGAGCTTCGCAAAGCATGACTGATCCCAAACCTGGATATAGGAAGAGGTTATGCTTGGTGGAGGTCTAATTATGTTGAAAATAAAACAAAAATAGTATGGGTGACACAGATTTAGCATAACAGAATTCGCTAGTTTGGAATTGAGGTGTAATTGACTGATTTATTGAATTAAGAAGCTGGATTGTTGATGATTTAGTTGGTAGATACATAATTTTTTTTGTTTATAAGAAAGGCTTGCTATTCAGAGGACTGTAAAGGATGCTTGGCTTTGATATTATGCAGAACTGATGGCATTGGGCTGTCTGCACCACAAGTTGGAATGAATGTTCAACTTATGGTATTTAATGCAGCTGGTGAACGAGGAGAGGGGGAGGAGATTGTTCTCGTCAATCCACGTGTCAGTAGATATTCTAGGAGGATTATACCTTATGAAGAAGGTTGCTTATCTTTTCCAATGATACATGGTGATGTTGAGGTACTTGGACCTATAAACCATTATTTGTTTGACCTCGAGTCAGTCTACTGCCTTACTCTGTGTCTGTGAGAGAGATAATATGAACCCCGTGGTCGAGTGTGATCAAATATGATTGACGTCATCTGTTCAAATCTCTCAATAATCTGCTATGCAGTTGATACTTTTCTTATTTAAAAAATAATGTTTGTGTGTTGAATATATATGTATCTTAAATGAATTTTTAGAAATGGTAGAGAGCTCCTAGTACGTTTTATTTTCTATCTTGTATAATATTGGTGTAAGATGAGCCTCAATGGAGTGACATACCCAATGACAATTTATATAGCCTAACCTAACTTGCTTGCAGTTGACGCATGATACCATGTACCAACTCATGACATCATGAGGTTAGTCGTGAATATATCTGAAAGGATGGTAAGGTTGCCACATCTGCAACCTCATGAGGGTTTTTCCTAGCATTTATGTTGTTGAATTGGTAGCTATACCATTCTGAAGAATTTAACTTGCTGTCTCCTGCTCCTGGAAAAGTTGCTCCAGTGAGCTAGTCTAACTTTTACAGGAACCTGCAGCTTCTATTGCTTTGGTGGGAATACAGATGTCATATCAGCAGTTCTACATGTATCCAAATTTTTACGAATGGTCAATTTTGTTGTTGTGCTTTAGGAATGTAAGAGACAGCATCTCAAGGACTTAATGCCAAAAGACATCCTAATCCTCTAGTTTGCAAGTGTGTCCCTATTCAACTAGTAACTTCTATCTTATACATCATAATTCTTCTTCTGGCTCATTAACCTGGTAAAGAGCTTACATAATAGAGCTGCTTGGATTTTGGGCGACTTTTCCAAACGAAGTCAAAAGAATTTGAAGTAGAACTGCAATCCTAAAACAGTTTGCATTTTACAAAAGCTTACCTGGTGAATCTTTGTTGGCTAACTGCTTTAGTGTCTAGGAACCTGAATCTGCTATTTGAATTGTGAAGTTTTCTTACTTTCTAAATTGTTACTAGCTTATTTATATATGGTGTGTGTTTGCAGAGACCAGACTCAGTTAAGGTTGACGCACAGGACATTAATGGTGCAAGGTTTGAGATAAGCTTGTCTGCTCTTCCAGCACGAGTCTTCCAACATGAATTTGATCACCTACAGGTGCTTTTTAATTTCTATAAATGCAGGATCTGTTTTAACCGTACCTTCCCAAAAATTACTGTTGTTTGGGATTCACAGGCTCTCCTGCTCATACATTTTCCCTTTGCATTTACTTTTATTTATTTATTTTGCATTTACCTTCTGTTCAGACAAAATGTTCTATATGTCTTTCCAGTTGCAGTAACTGGACATTGAGCAGTGTAATAAAAAAAAGTAAGAACCAGATAGACTCGAGTTCAGAAGTCTTCCCTGGTCTGATTCTTTTTATAAGACTACTTAACAGTGCTGCTGGTTGAGTTCAGATATCTGTAGTACTGAATAGTGTGTATGCAGTCTTTGATGAATATTCATCAGAAAGTACATGAATGCACAATTGCTTTAAATACAAAACTTAGTTCCCGTAAGACATTTCTTTTTAACTAAGTCAGCAATATGCAGGGAGTTCTTTTCTTTGACAAAATGACTGACGAAGTCCTGGACACCATCCGTGAAAAATTAGTGGTTAGTGGATCATTGTTAAAGTTGGGATAAACATCTGACAGGTGTTGCACCTAGGAACCAATGCTTATCTTTGTAACTGATTTTACAGGCGCTAGAAAAGAAATATGAAGAGAGGACTGGGTTGCCAACCCCTGAAAGCATAAATACACGAAAAACAAAGAAGGCTGCTGTTGGATTTGGCAAATCATGAATTTACTGAAATCTATGAGATCTTCTCAGGTTTTTGATGCCTTACCTTTATTTCATTTGCTTATTGTTTTACTGCATGTGCTTTACACTTGCTACTTGATGTATGCACAGTATTTGTATGATGAAGCACAAAATGGGATTGCCAGCTTTTGCTGAACTCTTTGGTATGCCATTAATTTAGACACTTGTGCTTTATGAAACCTGCCAAAAGTGTGGCCTCTGAGGTTTATCCTTCTACTGATACTGCTCTGTTCAGGAATGATAGGGTTACCACAGAAATTTGTATGGAAAAAGAACTGTAAGTACATTTGATCAAATCTTGAAAATCAAGGTGTGGCCTTGTTGACCTCTCTTTTTATTTATCACAAATTTGTATGGAAAAAGAACTCTGTAAGTACATTTGATCAAATATTGAAAATCAAGAAGTGGCCTTGTTGACCTCTCTTTTTATTTATTTTTCCTTGAGAGAGTTTGTTGTTTGAACACTTCGGTTGTTGTAGTTCAGTGTGGAGAAAAACAATTCAAGAGAAGTTCTCCATAAGTTCCCCATCAGAATGGTTTTTGAACTCTCTTTTTCTGGTAATTGTTATACCTCTGAAAGGCAGGAAATGACCTACAGGCTAAATGAACAGCTTGTAATGTATATGTTCCTTTTAGGAATGAATAAATTATCCCTACACAGCAACTGCTGATGTTTTGTGAAGGCAGTTTTCCCATCAAAATATAATTGATCAATCATGATGGGGTTTTTAACACCAGAAACTTGAACAAATTGATTACATGCTACGCATAAGCCCAGTTTATAGATAGATTATGAGCAAGGGCGGCTCAGCCATTAAAGATACTATAGCAGTGACTTTAGGCCCCAAAAAATAAGGGCCGCCAAAGAGCCAAAATCTCCCCAAATTCAGTTTTCTCAAATACGAAAACATACCCAAGATGCACAAAAAAGAGATATGTTCGACCAAGAGGCAACGATTGAAGATGTAAAATATTACTACTATTAACAAATAACAATAGTAACAAAATACCCAAAGTAAATATACAAAAATTATGTATTTATTGTTATTATTAATTTCTTAATAATTTGTCGCTTATCTCTTACTCATTATTATCCACATATTTTTGAAAATTTTATTATTGATGTAATTATAATTAACCATAGTAGAGAATTAAACTTTTAGTTACTTCTTATTTTTTAATTTGTCTAATTCACTTTAATTTGAATTAATCATGTTTTAATATTAACTTTGTAAGATTGTCTTCAATTCTTTGAGATGTTTTATTAAACTAATGAGAATGTTAAAATAAATTCAAGTTAAAATTTAAAAATAACTTAGAAGGTATTTTTTCTTCAGATTATTCACAAAAAATAAAAAATAACTTTAATTTATGTTTATGTCCAAATAAACTACAAAATTCAAATATCATTTTCCACTTTAAAAATAAAAACTTAAGTTTTTCAAATTTTAGATGAAACATGGTGAAATGGCCATTAAATTTTGATCCGTAAAATTATCCACACCTTCCTTTTTTGAAGTAAAAAAAAAAACTCCTACATCCGCTTACGTGTAGTTGTAGAGCACACAGATTCTTCGCTAGGAACAGAATTAACACTGTACCAGTCAACATAATGACGTAAGCCTACCAAATACCAACCAAAAGCTTACACGTGGAAATCTCGGACACCCAATACTCCAATCAACGAAAATGGATAAAATTAGCTTGGGTCCGCCAAATTCAGAGAGCATCCAAAGTGAGAAAAAGGAAAGAAGAGCAGTATCGCAGAAGTCTATAACCTGAAAACTTGGCCATACGCCATTTTCACTTCCACTTTATTTCTTTCGCGCTTAGGGTTTTGCTGTTTCACTCACAATTTTTCGTCGCCCATGCGAGCAATTCACTTCACCGTTGCAGGTACTCTTTCGGTTGACGCAATAATCATAAATATGTTTGCGTCAACAAGTGAATAATTGATCTCATGCTTCCTGTGAAGGTTCTTAATGTTAAAAAGATGGCTGCAATTTTGTCGAAAGCTATGTTTTCTTCCAATTAGAAAATTTCGGTGGCTGCTATAGAATTTTTTTATAGGCGTCTAGGAGTTCTTTGAACAATGGTAGACAGTTAGAAAGCTAATTTTGGGATCTTCTAGAGACTCACTTGACTAATTTGAGTACTTAATCACGTGTATGAACTAAGAGCCCGCGTTTCAGGATGAACATAATTTTTAGGTCATTAAAGTGAATGGGGTTCTGCTTGGGTCAATAAAGGTCATTGTTATATGAATGTCTACATAGTGCAATTTCTGGATTCTGTGATCTACTCTGATACAACACTGAATGTTAGTACGGCATCACTGGCGTCCTGTCTAATTTATGTATCTTTATGATTCAGGTTTTGAGAAGCTGATAATCTGTCATTTAAGTCGTAACCATTTATCAGTACTATAAGGAAGATTGTTTGTAATTCAGTGATATGGCTTCTGGCAGTATTATGTCTTCAGCAGCTGGCAAACCTATTACTGATGCTATGCTTATTGACAACCTACCTAAAGAAATAAATGAAATGAAGATCAATGATGACAAAGAAGGAAAGGTTGTTCTTGGAAATAGGATGCATACTCTTTATATGATTTCTTTTTTCCCTTGTCTATACTTAGTTATCTTTGCAAGTCTCACTGTGATTGCCTGACAGGAAATGGAAGCAACTGTTGTGGATGGAAATGGAACTGAAACAGGTCACATCATTGTGACAACTATTGGGGGAAAAAATGGTCAGCCAAAGCAGGTGACGTCTTTAATCATTTGATTCAACCTCGAAAATGTTATTTTACACTTGTAACTTATTTTTATCGTTGTGTCTGTACCAAAGTACTAACATATCCAAAGGATAAGAATTTTCATGTTGTGAGATTAATGGCATTGATCTCGTGGATTTCATGAATAAATCCTTTTGCTTTAGTTTCGTTTTGCTTCTGAAATCAGTAAATAAAACTCAATCTATACTAGGGCTGGTAATTGATCTATGGATCTGATGAGTAAATCTTTTCTCAATCAGTTTTGTTTTGGCTTTGGATATCAGAAAGTCAGATTACCCTGATTTTCGTATTATCTTTCTGTCACTTGTGATGTAACATAGACAATTGAAAGAAAGATCTGTTCTCAGATTTTACCTCATGGCATTGCTTTATCCTCCTTTATTAATTTAGGTATATGTTTTGTACAAGAATACCAAGTATTTTGCCTCTTTTTAATTTTTTTATCCTTTCTAATTTTTGAAACCAAAAATAATAATAAGTCAAGAAACAATCGTACATTCTGATAGAGATGTTAGCTATCTTACTAAACTAAAAGTAACTTTTGGCTAAAATGGTTCGGGACATCTTTGTAGTTACTTCTTTTTCTTCAATTTCTTTTGACTTGCCAGGTACTGGTAATCGAGAAATTTTATTTTGTGTTTCACATCACTTCCATATGTTCTGTGAGGAACTTTAATTGCTTAACAAGTGACTTGTTTTATTACCATTTCTTTAGTTGAAGAAAGAATCAATAAAGGTAATTTAAAAGTTTCCAAAGTAAGGCACTCTACTAGGACCCAAAAAATCAATGATATGCATACCCCTAGGCGTGAATACTGAATAACACATGCTTTTCTCTTTTTCATGGCTGAGATGGAGTTGTATTACTGTTCAACCTTACTAAAAGATGCTTATGGTTGATGGTGCTTTGTATGAACTTACATGGCTTTTCTACTTATGCTTGTATATTTTCCATTGCATAATTTTGTTTCCCTTTTCTCTGATTAGGCTTGGGATTATCCAAAATTCAATTTGTATGTTTTTTTTTTCTTTCTAATAAATTCATTAAATAAATAGGACTATTTTTTTTTTTGAAACTGGTAACTTTAAATAAATAGGACTATAGTACTGTGAAAAGCCTTGTATCAAATAAATCTGCTGTATCATAACTCAGAATAACTTCAATAAATTTTGCTTTGTTCCAGTGCTTAATTTGGAAAGTTTTGCATTGCTTTTTCTGTTTCAATCTTTAATTAAACAAATGTAACCACAAATCTACTTGTCAAGCAATTAAGGCGTCTCACATGACTTATGTTTGTTATGTGAGACATAAAATCAAGCTTCTCGCTGTAATCTAACAATCTCTTTTCTTTGTCCTCTCCAAAAAGGTAGCGAGCATTATATATCAACTCCATATTTTCAGGAAAGTTTTAATGACATGAAGTTAGTTAATCTTCTCATACCATATTGACTAGGTGCTTTCCAGATATACAAAAGGTCTTATTTCCCTGAAAAACTATTCATTTCCCAAACCTATATTCTAAACTTTCCTGAATTTTAGAAATTACAAAATATTGTTCCCTGTAAAGTTCAGAAATTGGACCTACGATGGGCATCTAATGACAGGGAATACTTTGCTTGACTTTAACTTGATAATATCTTTAAAGAGTCGGCGAACACTTTGGTATCGGTCTTATTTAGGATGTAGCTTATAATAGTTAGGGATGACTGCTAATTAGGCGAGGTTACATGGTCCTACACAACATAATGTAGTATTTCTAGCTTGGGTTGATAATTGAAATGTTCTTCTTTATCATGTCTTCGAGACTGGCATTGTTTGAGTGAATAACCCATCCATACTTCACCCCACAATTAAGTAAATCTCAACTGAGCAAGTTCTTCTAAATTTACGTGTTGATTGTGGGTCTTTGTGTTAAAAGCTTTTTTGCTAATGTTTTCTTTGACATTCAGACCATAAGTTACATGGCGGAGCGAGTTGTTGGACAGGGGTCCTTTGGAATTGTGTTCCAGGTATAAGTTGTTAATATGTCACAGATGGTCACTGCCATAATCAAGAATGCTTACCCCCATCACTAAATCAATTGTCACTGATTTCAAAGCTAAATTGCAGGCCAAATGCCTTGAAACCGGAGAAACTGTGGCAATAAAAAAGGTCTTGCAGGACAAGAGATACAAGAATCGAGAATTACAAACTATGCGACTTCTTGATCATCCTAGTATTGTTTCACTGAAACACTGCTTCTTTTCGACCACAGAAAAGGATGAGCTCTATCTAAATTTGGTTCTCGAATTTGTACCTGAAACTGTCTACCGTGTGTTAAGACATTACAGCAAAGCAAACCAACGGATGCCTATGATATATGTCAAACTGTACACATATCAGGTATTCCATTTGAGTACATGTGCAAGTTCCTCTCATTGTACATAGAAACAAATGAGCATAGGAGGATTGCATGGATGGACCTGGCCCTATAGCTTAAGATGATTGTGACTTCTGCTCGAGTGTGCCACAAGTTGTCATGGAAACCTCCTTTGCCTTTAATCCCCTTCATTGTCGTCAAATTGTTACGGTGTATGTAAAAATTGTAAATGTTGTATC